AGATTTTCAAAGTATTGAGCTGATCATAAGTTATGACCTTGCGACGGTTTGCGACAAATAAATCCGTCGCATTAATCCGCCGCATACCGTTTTTTTCCCAAGAGTTAGGGGCGGTGTTGTAGATACTCGATGGATATTTTTCTGGCATACATCTCTGTCCGAATCATTTTACTACTCTGCAATCTTCCCTTGTGGGTTAACAGCTCGTTACTGCCTTCTTAATTCTAACTGACACTCTTCACTTTCCATGCCTAATTTGCACCTGAGGAGAAGACGAGGAAAAAAGAGGCACATTTGAAAAAATTGAACTTAAAGATGATTTGTGATTGATAGAAAACCATAGATTTTCAATTATTGATCTGAGTTTACGGATCTGATGTGTTAATTTTCAAAACATAATCATCATGGCTCAGTACAAGCATACGAAGTCGGCTTTGAGATTCTGCGCCGAACAAAATGAGATTCTGGGTTATGATGCACTACAAAGTGCAGTTGGAGAGCCAAGGATTCAATTTGCCATAGTTCGACATCCCATCGATAGATTTCTCAGTGGATTTGTAGACAAATGCATCAGGTATGCACACCTTTTCCTTTTGTAGTTATTAGTTCCTTTTCTTCTTCTATATCCTTGCGAAAGAAGCAGATTTTTAGGGAAGCCAAAGTGGAGAAAACGCGCTGTTTCGAGTGCAACAGTAATATAAGTTGTTTTGTTGATAATCTATACAATTTGTTGATGAAAACAGTAGAAGAAAACTTGACGACATATAACTACGAACTTGCTCACTTCGCGCCACAAACTTGGTATGTTTACCAATGCTAAGTAGAGCAGTCAGTATTCTGGCGATATTCAGGTATTGCGACTTCAAGGATCATTTTGGGGATTACATTATTCTGCACCGTGGCGAAGGAACTATCGGAGTTCTAAAACTTGCGCAAGAACTTGAGTCAATTTTTAAGAGCGCTCGTATTCCCGATAGTTTAAGAAAGGAGATACTTAATGAACTACTTGGTAAGTACAACAATCGCTATTGAGAGTTAACAAGAATAATCACAAATCTTAATGCTTATTTCAAGTTAAATTCCTGTTTATGGGAAAAGTGAATGTGTACATGCCGCACAATGCCACGAGCAAAGTCTCCTAACACCGTGTTATCTACTTGAAAATAGTTTCCTAAAGTAATAAATATATCTTGTGAGTTTTTCGATATCCGTTTACACTTCCACGGC